CCTCTATAAGTGTTTGTGAAAAAAGTAAAATTGATTTTTTTTTTTTTTCTCAAAACAATTGACCTAATGTGATGCTGGGATTAATTTTTTTACTTCTGCTTCCCTGATTCCCCTTTCCCCCCCCCCCCAAAAAAAACAAACAAACAAACAAACAAACAAAAAACAACAGAAAGAAAGTTCAGAAAAGCTAAAAGAAGCAGGAGTATCTTAGCACAGGTAAGCACAGTTTCTTTTACACATCACAAAAAAAAAAAAAACAGATTAATTACCATTATTCCTGTCCATTTGAAGGTCAGCGTTTTAACATGTACAAATCAACCTATTGGCACGTCTAAGTTGTATATTCTTGGATCTGTGATAAACCTAACTAAAACAAGCTATTTTTGCATATTTTTTTTTCACGATTCCTTTGTATCATTAAGGAAATAGGACGTCTAATTTGCTGTCTTGGCCGGTGCCATTGAGGAAAAGGAGGCGCAGCGTTCTGCGTACGGAGATACCTCTGTGTTATTGTGCAAGACCAGTTGATGGATTGTCCTCGGGCCTTGGCAGTGAGTGAAAGGACAAAGCTGTTGGTGGCACACTGTGTTGGGTTTGCGTGGCGAGGTTTGGGGAGTGGGGGGGCTCCAGGGGCGGCTTCTGTGAGAAGCTGCTAGAAGCTTCCCCCATGTCTGATGCAGCCGGCTCCAAGGCAGCTCCAGTGCTGGCCAAGGCCAAGCCCATCAGTGACGGTGGTGGCACCTCTGGGGTAACATTTAAGAAGGGGGAGAAAAACCCTGCGCAACTGCAGCTAAAGAGAAGGGGGAGAATATGTGAGAAACAACTCTGAAGACCCCAAGGTCAGTGAAGAAGAAGGAGGGGGAGGAGGTGCTCCAGATGCCAGAGCACAGCTTCCCCTGCAGCCCCTGGTGAAGAGCACGGTGAGGCAGGCTGTGCCCCTGCAGCCCACGGAGGACCACGGTGGGGCAGAGCTCCACCTGCAGCCCTGGGAGGGCCCCCCCCCAGAGCAGGGGGATGTGCCCAAAGGAGGCTGTGACCCCGTGGGAAGCCCACGCTGGAGCAGGCTCCGGGCAGGACCTGTGGCCCCGTGGAGAGAGGAGCCCACGCTGGAGCAGGTTTGCTGGTGGGACTTGTGACCCCGTGGCGGGACCCACGCTGGGACAGTTCATGAACTGCAGCCCATGGGAAGGACTCATGTTGGAGAAGTTCCTGGAGGACTGTCTCCTGTGGGAGCGACCCCACGCTGGAGCAGGGAAAAGTGTGAGGGGTCCTCCCCCTGAGGAGGAAGGAGCAGCAGAGACAATGTGTGATGAACCGACTGCAACCCCCATTCCCTGTCCCCCTGGGCTGCTTGGGAAGGGGGAGGAAATAGGGAAAATCGGGACTGAAGTGGAGCCTGGAGAGAAGGTGTTTTAAGATTTAGTTTTTATTTTCTCATCATCCTACACTAATTTGATTAGTAATTAAACTAATTTCCCCATGTCAAATCTGTTTTGCCCATGATGGTATTTGGTGAGTGATCTCTCCTTGCCCTTATCTTGACCCAGGAGCCTTTTGTTATATTCTCTCTCCCCTGTCTGGTTGAGGAGGGGAGTGATAGAGTGGCTTTGGGGGGCACCTGTCCAGCAACCCAGCAGCCAGGGTTGACCTACCACACACACCTAGCTCCCCTCTCCCACATGCTGACCAGAACACAATCACTGACCTTGAGTTATTCCAGTGGAAAAACACCTGTGGTAAGCCTTACTCCACGAACTGTGGCAGGTATTCTGTGAGAAAGTCCTGAGTGATGCAGGCAGGAACACGTGAACAATTACAGCATTGACAGTGATTGGGTAATGAATGACCTTGTGCCCTGATGAAGGTTTATCTACTGGTATAGTTGCATCCCATGATTTTTCTCTACCGTGGACTTGCTGGTCTTGGCCAATGGCAAACTTTGCCAACAGCAACTTATTGATTTTGGCAATAGAGGGTGCGTGTACCTTGCTTTAAAACTATTGAGTTCACTTCTCCCAAGGTTATCCCTGAACCTGGCCATTGCAAACTGACTCTGGGAGATGCTTCTCAGCTTCTGGTCCCTGGCCAAAGCAGTCTGTATTACCCAATAGAGAACCCAGACCTGTCAGAGCAGAAACCCAATGCCGTAATTGGCTTGGTTTGTCCAACTACCTGCAGCCAAGGAGCCTTTCAGATGTGGTCAGGTGTGGCTGTCAAGAAGGTTGAGAGCAAAGGTGACTACAAACTACTTAGAGAAGCCCTACTTGGCGGTAAGGGGTTTAAATGCATGGAGAGGAGTGAGCTTGGCTCTCTAGCAGCACAGTGTTGGGAGTTCTGTGAAGCTGTCACCCTGTGTTTGCAAGTTACTCCTGGAGCTTCTGCATTTCTTCAGCCAGTAGTGCACGGGGTAAGTCAGTCTTTTGGCTCTTTGCTATATAAAAACTTTGCCGCAGGCATTACAGAATCAGGAAGGTTGTCCAAGCTTCCTTGGCCTGAAGTGTTTTGTAAACAGGAGCTCCAGTGAGCAGCTGAAGGATTCTCACCTAAAGAAGATTCTTCTAGATTTGTGTTTTGTGTTTGGTTTCTCGGGTATCTAACAGGTTATCACCACTTCATTTCATCCCCGCAATGGTGTTACCACTGAAGTAACTGGTGTGTAGGGCTTTGAGTTATGCTGTAGTCTTTCTGTAAGTGAGTAAATTGCAGGGTCTCTTCTCTGTGAAGTTGCCTACTGTCTTTGGCCGACGGGATGGGGACTTATTAGGGGAAGGGTGAATAAATAGGAATAGATGTGTATTCTAGGTATTGCTGCCACTGCATTTGGTGAGGTTTCGAAGGCTGAGGCCATCCTGAGGAAAGTACAGGGTTGTGTTCCAGAAAAGTGTTTAACAGAGCAGTAACTTGGCATAGTGACAGAGCAGTGAAAGTGAAAACAAAAGGTGTTTGCATGTTTCCAACTTTGCTGGCATGATCCTTACCTGTTTCTCACATGTGCACTCCTGTGCTTTATAGCCTTAAGTTGGTTTTGGATAGGAAAGGGAGAGTTAGCTATCAGTTCGTGAGTAAAGTCCAGATCACCAGTTCTGTTGCCAAGATTTGATTTCACTCACTCTGATCACTCCAGTTGCTGGCACCACAGGCACGTGGTCTCTCTGAGCTGTGATCTCCAGTTGCTGCCACTTAGACCTCCAGGCACACAAATGCACACAGAATAGAGAGTGCCTTGCCCAGGAATATGCTTAGAAATGGAGTTCAATAAGACAGGAAGATCAGGTGCAGGGTATGGCCATACAAGCATACTGACCAGCCACTCATTCTTCCATATTTGTTCCTCCCCAAATTACCTTGTTCCCTTTTACTTGCCTTTAGTCCCTTTCCTAAACATCCCACAATAAGTCTTGTACAGTCCTCAGGTGCTCTGCCTAGTGTCACATATGTCCCATACCCCTAGGAAGTAATCTACCCGTGACTTGAACAGCACCTGGACTTCAGGGAACACTTGCTGCGAGGGTGACTGAGCACTGGCCCAAGTTGCCCAGAGAGGTGGTGGAGTCTCCATCCTTGGAGATGTTCAAAAACCATCTGGACACGGTCCTGGGAAACCAGCTCTCGGTGGCCCTGCTTTGGTGGGGTGGTTGGACAAGATGACTTCCAGAGGTGCCTTCCAACTTCAGCCTTGCTGTGATTCCTTGCAGGTGGGCTTGTCAGGTGAATAGTTACACTGCTAAGGAGCATTTGCAGTACCCAGGTCTTGGGAAGGCTTGCAAGGACAATGAAATGCAAGTGAATAGCAAGAAGATCCATAGATCCATCTATCCTACCCTTTATTGACTGAGGAAGGATCTCAGGTGTGTGGTTTTTTTTTTTTTGTGGGTTGTTTTGGTTTGTTTTTTTAAATATCTCCTCCCTCCCCCCCCCTTTTAATTCCATCATGAATTAGCATAGTAGAGGGTTCCTGGCATACATGATTGATTTGGTTTTCAGTAGTCTTGGTTCTTCTCTTTTCATGTGTATCAGGTCAAAGTGTGATGGTTTTCGTGGGGGGGGGGGGAAGGGATTATACACTAGTGATGTGAATTTGAAGTAATGTTTCAAGCAATATGTACCTGGCATAACTGTTAGGGTTTCTGTAGCAGGGGGCTGCAGGGCTGCCCTGTGGTGGAAGAGGCCATGGACTGATGTACATAAGAAAGATTGTCAGCCAGTAAGGCAGGAAACACCTCTAGGGGACTGCTGAGGGGGTGGCATGGGGCTGCAGACACACTTTTGGAAGGAGATGGTTCTGAAGGGACTGTGGCCCATGGGGGCACACACTGGGGCAGAGACAGCCCCGAGGAGCCGTGGCCAGCAGAGGATCCGCACTGGGACAGCAACACTGGGAAGCATGGAGAAGCTTGGTGTTTTTGTGGAAAGGAAAGCTCCATATGCTAGTTGTTGATGTGAGCACTACTTCAAGTTCACATATATGTGCTAGGCATGACTGGCAGGGTTTTGGTAGTGGTAAACTGCAGGAATGGCCTGTGTGGGAGGGGGCTGTGAAGTGCCCTATGCCAGTCACTGTTTCTTCCAGCCATCTCAAAAACTGATGGAAAATCCATTTCAATGTATTTTCACATTTTTGTTTACTTATGTTCAAAATTCCCCAGCTGCTAATGACCAGGAAAGATAAGACTGCCTTGCAGTTTATTCCGCCTGTCGTTGTGTGTACATGTGCTTTGTGGCACGACAGGTTTTCCGACAGCTGCCCAACAGCCCTGCACTTCCTACAGCATCACTGGAGGTGCTTGCTTGGTTCACGTGGCTCATTACACAAGCCAGTGAGAACTGCCTGCTTTCTCTGGCATTAATAACTTGTACAGATACATATAAGCATGCATGTGAAAGCACCTGTAAACTGTACCTTATCACCATCAGTTCTATGACTCATTAGACTCAGTTAATTACTTAATCTGAGCAGTTTTATCTCTCAGTGAGGTAGAGGCAATTTGAAATTGCAGTGCATTTGGAAAGACAGTGCAGACACAGAACGACAAAGTCCAACCAGCAGCAGAACACTGAGTTTCTTCAACCTTACGATGGCACCTTGGAAGAGACCACATAAAGTTGCACTGGTAATTGTGAATGCAGGTTTTGTGTGTTATCTTGTGCACTTACTGCAAGAACAAAGAAAGGGACGACTTGATTCCTTGGAAGTTAATCCTAGATTTCTGAGCCAAGAATATAACATCCTTCAGAGACTGGACCATTTGGACTGGAACATTCATAACCTCTGTAAGTAAAATGGCATGCTGCTTAAGTTTTTGAGAATTAGGTATCTAGATTTCCTGAAGGATAAAAGAATAGCTAGCAGTGATAATATTTGTTTGAGTTTCCCTGGACACTTGATTGTGGTGTTGTTTTGTTGTGTGTGTTTTATTTTTTTTTTTGTTTTGTTTTTCCTTGTAATCTTGGAAAGAATTTGAGTGAGACCTTCTCTACTCATACACAAAACACTGAAGTCTTTCAGAGTCATCATGGTGGTTTTCTGCATTTTAGACGGCTCCTGACCCTGAACTCTTTCAGAAGTGTTAAGCAATTTCAAGGTGATTGTACTAGCATACTAATCTCAGGTGGCTATTATTCCTGTCATTATTTTGATTGCCATAAAAAGCTATTTTTGAGAGAAACTGAAAATGCCCCATTTCCTCAGCCTCTGCTGTGGGGGTGAACAAGGGGAACAGTTACTCCCTCTGTCTTTTTTCCTTTGTGTACCTGGAGCACAGACACAATGGAGTTGCTGTGAGGAAAATACGTTGATGAGCTCTGAATCACCTGCTCAATTGGACTGTGTTCCCAAGTGGTATTAGCTGATATCTGCTGGCAGGACTGTGTCTCCCTCATCCCATGACATTGAAAGGACAACTGCATCCCAGCAGATGTGCTTGGATATGAGTGATATTAATTTAGAAAGGGCCTTTTCTTTCTCAGTGTTTGTGAATTTGGACCTTGTTTTCAGGTATCTGTTGTAGTTTGGACTATTGCTGAGTGGGTACAATAGAGCCATCTGAATTAAGGGGTGAAGAATCCACCTCTTTTCCTCTGAACCCCTTGATTTCCTACTTTTTTCATGTCTTTTGAATCTCATCGCCTCACAACAGTGGTAGGAGGGCTAAAGCAGCCAGAGCCCTGATGGCTGGCATTGCTTTGACTGTCACATTGTCCACATCTCCTCACACTAGAGCTAGATGCATACTATGTAGAACAGAAGAAGAAACTTTGACTGTGTTGATCACCTGAGCCTGAAACTAGCTGTTTGAAATGCCACTTGGGGCACCCTTGAACTTGCTGAGAAATTTTCCCTGTACAATTTGGTCAGGTTTAATATCCCCTATCCCAAGCACCAGTTATCCCATAATGTCACTGTTATTGCTGACAGTATGTTCACTGGCAGCTGTTCTCATGGGCAACAACAGTGGGGCATATTTTTGTAGGTTATTTTGAGACATTTGAAAGAATGCTGGAATCTTCACTTCAATACTTAGTCATGGGGTCTAATAGTTGAGTTTGGAAGGCACCTCTGAAGATGGTCTATTCTACTGATTAGTCTGCTTGAAGCATGATCAGCTGGGGCAGGTTGTGCAGGACATCATCCAGTTGGGGTTTGAATATCTTGGAGAGATAAGGATGGAGACTTATCAACCTGTCTGGTTTACCTGTTCCAGTTTTTTGTCACTTCAGCAGTTAAAAAAAAAAAAAATGTAAAAAAAAAAGTCTTATGTTTAAACGGAATTCCCTGTATTTTAGGTCCTCTTGTCCTTTCACTGGACACCACGGGGAGAATCTTCCTTTGTCTTTGCTAGTCCCTCTCATAAGATATTTATATGCATCAACATCTCCCCCACCCCCAAGCCTTCTCAGGCTCTCTCAGCTTCTCCTTGTTTAACGGATGCTCCAGCCTCATAATCATCTTAGTGTCTCTTTGAAGGATTTTCTTTCGTATGTTCACGTCTGTCTTGTACTGAGGAGCCCGGAGGTGGACACAGTACTCCAGGTGTGGCCTCACCAGTGCTGAGTAGAGGAAGGATCACCACCCTCGACCTTCTGGTGATGCAGCCCGGTGTATTGTTAGCCTTGACACAAGGGTGCACTGTTGGCTCGTGTTCAACTTGGTGTCCACGAGGACCCTCAGGTCCTCATCTGCAAAGCTGCTTTTCAGCTGGCGTTGATCCCAGGGGTTGCTTCCCGCAAGGTGCAGGGCTTTGCACCTGCCCATGTTGAACTTCATGAGGTCCCTGTTGCTCTATTTCTCCAGCCTCTTCAGGTGCCTCTGAATGGCAGCAAGACTTTCTGGTGTATCAGCCACTCCTTGCAGTTTGGTATTATGCACAGACTTGCTGAGGGCGCGCTCCACCCCATTTTCAAGGTCATTAATGACCATATTAAAACAGTACTGGAAGCAGTATTGAGCCCCGGAGGACGCCGCTAGTGACTGGCCTCCATCTGGACTCTGTGCCACTGATCACAACCTCCTGATCTCAGCAGCTCAATCTCCCTTGCTGTCCACTTACCTAGTGTGTACTTCCTCACCTTGTGCATGAGGGTGTTGTGAGAGGCGGTGTCAGAAGCCTGGTTTGAGTTCAAACAACAGCCACTCCTCTCCCCTCATTCACCAAGACAGTAATTTTATTGTAGAAAGCTTTAACTCACATAGGTTTTTCTGGGCCTTTTTCATATGGCACAGTCCAATATTGTAAATTTAGCAAGACCTTGAGAAATTAGGAGTTGCACTGTTCAAAGGTTTCTGACAGAGCAGAAGTCAAAACTGACAATAAGCTTTTCAAAAGACGTTGCAAAGGGCTTGTTTATTGTATTTACCTTCAGGAACAATGTGACCTAAACAACCTCACGTAGGCTATTTGTGCCTTTTCTTTATGGCACAATATTATGAACCTAATAAAACCTTGAGAGATTAGGGTTCACCTGTTCAAACCTTTCTGAGCAGAAGTCGAGTTTGTCCAGTAAGCTTGTTAAAGGAGGTGGCAAAGGCCTCATTTACTGTATTTACCTTCAAGATAAATATTATTTCAATAACCTGAGCTAGATAAGAATCTCTTTATGAATCATTAATACAATAATGTAACTCAAGCATAACATCAAGGAAATGTTTTGGGCCTGATTTAACAATTTTTGTGTTGTTGCTACTCCCAGATTTCTCCACTGATGCCAGTGCAGTGTCCCTTGCTTGTGCAATTGAGAGCAGAATCCGATGCAGGGTATTGTGAAATGTGAGGTTTAAAACCTGTTCTCATGGAGGAGGAAGGGTCTGGTGCTACTTTCATGTGAATATCAACTTAGCTGTAACTTCATGCATCTCTTGACCTGCCATGTTATAAGGAGAATTTGTCTCGGTTATGATGATGGAGAGTGTTCTCAGTTGCTGTTATAATCAATTCACTTTTATTTTTAATCAGCAAAATCAGTGGAAGCATTCCGTGAAGACATAAAACAAATAGAACAAGATCTGAAGCTGCAAGATAACTCCAAGACTGAAGTACGCAAAGCTGATGACATAGAGGAGGAAAAGAAGATTGTACACCGTTTGCTGTACCCAGACTCAGCGTTGTTCAAAAGCTGGGGTACAGATTTAAGGGAGGAGGAGCAAACTGTTGCACAGAATTTGTTCTTAAATTATGGGTATAATGTTTACCTCAGTGATCATCTACCTCTGGATCGACCTATCAAAGACACCAGATCTCCCAGGTACAGTATAAGCCCTCTCTACATTCGCAAGGAGACATGAAATTAAGGGGAAAGGAATCCATGTTGCTTTGGACTAAGTTAAAATTAATCTACTAACAGCTCTCAATTTGTGCTCTGTTTCTTTAGGGACTTTTCTATATTTAGGGACTTTTCTATGTTTTTTTCCCAAAGTTTGCTTAGACCTGTAATACTCCAAAGACTGAAAAGAAGTCACAACGTAGAGAAGACACTTAAGAAAAATAATATGTTAACATTATAATTGATAGAGGACTTCTAACTGTCAGTAAAAATGAGAAAAATTAACCATAGTATTCAGCAGATATGAGATATGTTTACATTTTATTTAAGCCCCAAACACAGGACATCTGAAGCATTCTTTCTCTTGTCTCTTATGTTGTCTTGTGCAAGCCACATGCTGAGATAACCAAAGTGGTGGTTTTTAACTCCCCTCCCCTCCTCGCCTTGGAAACCCCCCAAAATATAATCAATGAAGAAATAAACCCCTACATTGTAAAATTCCATCCTTTTTAACACAATGCTTGTTTCTCTTAGCGATGTTGTAGACCACAAGTGGAGGGATACCTGTACTGCTTATTAAAAGATCATTAGAAATCAAACAGGAGAGGTGACTGGAACGAATTGTTGGCTGGTTCTGTGAAGGGTGAGGGATGATTCAGCATTTGACCTGAATCTCTAATGCTCTTCTCTGTAGTACTGTAGGCACAGCACTGTTATCTTTGGTATTATAGTCAGAGACATAATGGACCAGTGACTTTGTGAGTTTTCTCATAGCCTTATTTTCTCTCTGTTTCCCTTTCAAGTTATTAAAGAGTCTAAGGATTAATTATGTGGAAAATATAATGGGGTGAACATCTAAAAGATTAAGATGTAAGTAAGCTGTCCACTTCGTAAGAGGAAGCTTGAGGGATTTTTTCCATGAATTCACTGGTTCATGAAGTCCATAGATAATACTTTTTAAGCAGACCAGGGTACTATGGGGGCTGGCATAAGTAACTGTTAAAAACCTCATTAGGAACCAAGTATCTGTTCAAAAAGCAAGCACATTTTTTTCTGTATAGTATGATATGGTATACAATTTATTGCAAAAGATAATAGTAAGCTTTACAGGACTTAACTGGTATAAATGTTCAAGAATGTCACAGATACACTGCAAGCCTACACCTTTGTACCTATGGTCACTTGAACTAAATCTGATGGATGTGGGGGGCAGTGAGGATTGTGAACTGGGAGTGAATTAACTATGTCGAACTTGGGGAAAAGGGGAGTTGTCTCACTGGCAGCCCTCGGGAAAGTGTAAAGAGCAGGTTATGCAACTTGGGTCCTCATCGCCCTGCTTAGACGGACCCAGTTTCATCTAGGGCAGACAGTAATAAGCTGCCTGTAACTGTGGGTGTCCGTGGGGCAGCGTTGCAGAGGAGAAGACCCAGGGGGACAGACCTTGTGCAGCGGTGAGGCAGCAACCCCCGCTCTGCTGGGGGATCATTTTAGAGAGCTACCTGGAGCCGGGGTGGCCGCAGGAAGCACGTGATGAGTCTGCTTGATTCCAAAGAATGAGAGAAGTGCCTGGCACTCCTCTGCTTGGCATCGTAAAGAAATACAAATACATCATAAAGATGTATTTGCAGAGACCGCCTTTTGCAGATACTGCGCTAATGGGTAATAAAGTTAATGGAGAAATTCCGACAGAAATGCATTCCATTTGTGCACGGTTGCCGCTGTAGAGGTCTACCTGGAGCATAGGCCTGTCTCTGACAGCTGCATTATGGAGCTGCCCGACTCACAGTCTGAGTACTTCTTTCATGAGCATGTTTCTAAGGGGAGGGAAGGATCAGCTTCAGAATCCAGCTACGCTCTGTTGTCTGCTCTAGGGAGAGTTAGTGCTTAGCACTACAAAGAAGACCCAGTCCTTACCATCTCCCCTGTGGCCAGGGGGTGAATGCTAATTAGCAGAGCCGACAAATATCCCAAATATATACTTTAAAAAAAATAATTAAGAAGTCTTTAACAGCAAGCAGAAAGTACAGAGGTGTTCAAATAGCAAAAACCAAGTTTGTTTCAGTATTGGGAACAATTTATTCTGGGGTTGTATAGAATTCTACAAGGCCTGGTTTACTCTGTAAGAAGGATTTTTGAAGCTCTGTCAAGAATTTCTGAAGAGATCCCTTGTCCAAAAGAATCCTTCTCGCATGTCAGTTTATAAGTATAGTTAGACCTAACTACTTCATTGCACGTACAAAGGGTTTATTATCTACTTTGCTTTTGTCTGTTGTCAAGTTTGGCTACTGTCATCTCCTTCTGTAAATGCAAAAAGACAAATTTCACTCGCATGTCCACTGCCTTGTTAGCTAATCATCACTGACCGAGTTAACTGTATTTAGTCTCAGTATTTTATAACTATTTTGGATTGAGAAACAGTAATCGTTTTAACAGAAGTTTTAACTTTACCCCAATGGTTTAGATACATACATAACACAACTCAAATGAATAACAAATCTTGGATTTGAAAATTCCTTTTTTTTTCCCACTCTCATGCAGATTTTCACTACATGTTTTAAGCCCAACATACCAACTCTGCCTTATTGAAGCTGCCTTGCTCTCTGACTTTCTTTAGAAACTGTGATGAAGTTGTTTGTCTTCTGTTACAGCTGTAAAATGAAAACATACCCGAAAGATCTTCCAACTCTCAGTGTTGTGCTTATATTTATGAATGAAGCCCTGTCAATCATCTTACGTGCAATTACTAGTATAATTAACCGAACACCTTCTCATTTATTGAAAGAAATCGTCCTGGTAGATGATTACAGCTCAAATGGTAAGTGACTCAGGGAAGACAGGAGTCTTGCTAATTTATGCCACTATTGCAATAAATGAATATTGGTGGCCTTTTGGCCACACATAGAGTAGACCACTCAAAATTAAGAAGTGAATTGAGTGCAGGAAAAAAATGAAACACCTTAATGGCCTGGAAAAAGGCAGCTAATAAGGAACAGGATGATGCTCTGCCGCTATTTGAAAATGTTAAAAATTGAAGTGGGAGACTATTTACCATCAATGGCTCATCAGGCACAGTACCACAGTAAGAGCAAGCTAAGAAAACGATCTCTGTAGGTAGCTGAAAACTCTTTGAAGAGTGGTGTCTTGGATTGTGGAAAATACTCCTAGGGGAAGCAGCGGGTGCATTCTTGCTCTTAAAACTGAGCTGAACAAAGCACTGTAAAATTGTCTGTAAGAAACAGTCACGCCCCTGGTCTTAAGGGTGGTCTTTTTCCCTTGTCTGATGAGATGTGTTTGATTTCTCATTTTTCTAAGGCTCTGTGACTGTTAGAAAAACATGTCAGTTTAGGTGGAACAAGAGTTTGAGTTTCCAAAATGATGCTAAGAGGTCTCAACTTTCTATTCTTTTTCTCTGACATTGTTCATTTTGGTTTGGTTTTGGTTTTGTTTTTTTTTTTTTTTTTTAACTTTGGTGAGGGAGTTGGCATGCCTACAGTTCTTATAAGAGCATTTCACATTTTCACAGGGCTTGTTTGTTTTCTTTTTTCTTTTCCACATGGTAGAAGATACACACAAATTACTGCACTAAGACAGCTAAATGGTTACTCTTATGGCACTCGTCTAAATTTTCGACATACTGATGTATTTGCTTATAATTTAGAAGCCATACAATAGCACTATATGTAAATGAAATTTAGGTACTTAATTGAACTCCTGGAATGGAAGCTGGTTTTAAAAATAAGCCTTCTGAATTCATGAGTACCTGAATAATGCTACCTGTTCTGCTGCAAAGAACAAATCAGGTTTTGGTCTGGAACTGGGGGAAGCTAGAAAACCATTACCTACGTAATCTTTTCCATTTCCTAATATTGATTGACTCGTTGTTGTTGTTGGGGTTTTTTGTTTGTTTTCGTTTGTGTTCTGTTTGTTTTGGTTTGGTTTTTTCTTAATTATTAAAATATGGGGGGTCTGCTTTTAGATGATCTGAAAGGACCTTTGGAAACACACATCAAAAATTACAATGCAAAGCATCCTGGGCTGCTGAAGATCATCAGACATCAGAAAAGACAAGGCTTAACACAAGCCCGGATTTCTGGCTGGGAGGCATCAACTGCAGATGTTGTTGCAATTTTGGATGCCCATATTGAAGTGAATGTGGCATGGTAAGACTATGAAGACTTGGGGGCTTCTAAGGAGGGGGAGGGAAATGGACAAGGAGTATAACTGTGTAGCTGGGACAGGCATCTCGTAAATGGTTCTCCTTTTCTGCCTGCCACATGTTAATTAACAGCCACCAAGTAATTTATTTCTGAGAGGAAAAAGGATACAGTTCCTTGTAATAAATAGGAAAGCAGACAGGTAACAGAGTAAGATGTTTAGTGAAGAGGAAGAGAGAAATGCCTACCTTCTCTGCATATTACATTTCTAGGAAAAAAAGACTTCATGTGGTGAAATAACATAAGAATGATGCAGGTTATTTAGTTCCAGTGCCAGCAGCTGTGGCCATTTATATTAGACAGCCATAATACCCAATGACTTTAAATTGGCTTGATTCTTATTCCAGCTTTGGCTGATGTTTATTTGTTGCTGCTTGTTAGTTTAATAGTGCATCGTAGTTCTGCAGGACTCTTTTTACAAATAGAGACAAAATAAGTGGCTGATGATGGATATTTACATTCTGTTGGTAGTGAATCTATGGTACAGTTTTATGTGAAATCTCTTTACATTCTCTCCCCTCTGGGTTACTGAATTCACTGGATGATTATTGTTCACATTGTCTTGTTTTCTGGAAGCAAGGTTCTTCTCCCAGCCCTTCTCAGGCCAAAATGGCTCTGTGTGGTCCAGATCCCTCATTCTCTCTCGATAACACTCCTTGTTACGGTCTTAAAGGTAATGGTGAAGTCATTTAGTTATGGCTTTCACGACTCATCGAGATAAGTTGGGCTGTCAAGAGTATGTAGGGAGAGGTAAGGTCAGTTCTTTCAGGCCTAACAACATTCGGGGTCCAGCAAAAAGACTCCCTCTGCCAGAGCCAAATAGTCTCTGACCAGGTTCTTTTAAATCTTCCACATGAGGAGGGTTTAATATTTTAATAATAAGTTTACTTATTTGAAAATTTATGAGATTTTGGTTTAGAAAAGTGATACAACAATATACTGAAATCACAACACAAGCACAATATAGAAATTGCAAGATATGGTTGAATCAGCATACAAACAGAATTCACATTACCACACTCTGTGTGTTCACCATCAAGATGCTGGGCACCTCTAGTTGCTGGGAAGGAATACATGCGTGGAAGCCAACTCAAGCATGTTGTTCTCTTCAAAGTTCATTTTTCTAGGTGTTTGATTTTTATATTCTATGCTGGGCTAAGCCACATATACACTTCCCCCATGTTGGTCTCTCTTGCTTAGGAAGGTAATACTTTCCAGTAATTATTTTTAGAATGCCATGTACATAACCCATTGACCCACCCAACTGATACTGCTGTTTATCTGCAACAGAGACCATTCTCCAGTCCCCTTGGTGTGGGGATAAATTCAGCTTCCTTTACTATATCTGTGGTCAGTCCCTATGTTCTTCTCTGAGCTTTATGAGCACGTCATCTTTGACTATGTTCTCTGAGCCTTCTTTCATTGTAGGGGTTCATTGATCGGTCACACCCTTCCCTCATACATCAGTCATGGCACTAAGGCACAGGGGAAAGATGGTGAATGATCAACCTCAGGGCTTACAACACCCCTCAGAGTCTCTTTCCTTTCTTTTTCTCTTCTTGTCCCCTCATAAAGGTATTGAAGACCCTCTGGAGCCTGTAGGAAGCAGATCCAGGTAGCAATAAACCCAGCAGGAACTTACGGTTAGCTTGATTAGAGACAGTCAAAATGCAGAAGCAGCCTAATGGAAGGGAGAATTGAGCCATGACATTAGCAATTTGGGTTACTAACACTGTCGTGTAACTTTTTGTAGAGGCCAAGATCATTGACTTAAATAACTAATCCAGTTTTAGAAACAGGTGGTAAAGTTTAGTACTGTTTATTAGATTTCCACTTCTTCAAGCTGAATAGACTCTCTTAATTTTGGTAGGGCTGAACCTATTTTGTCTCGACTAAAAGAAGACCGCACTGTTATAATATCACCAGTATTTGACAATATTCGTTTTGATGACTTTGAGCTTCTTCAGTATGCAGTGGCTGCAGACGGATTTGACTGGGCACTCTGGTGCCTTTATGAACCTTTACCAGCTGAGTGGTATGCTCTGAAAGATGAAACAGCTCCAGTCCGGTGAGTGTAAACAGCATTTGAGAGTGAGCCAAGATATATTCTATCCAGTGTAGAGAGAGGAAAATGTTTTATGGGTGGCGGGATAGATACCTATGAAACACATTATATCTAGATAGTTGGTTTGGAAGTATGGGTTGTTTAGCAGTCCTGAAAATCTCAGTCCACCAGTTGCAGGGTTGTGTTACAGGATCTGCTCTGTGCTGATCCTGCTGTCAGATTTTCGGGCAATCCCTGAGTCATTGATTTTTCTGTCTTATGTTCCTTAGCTAGGAATGTGGTAGCAATATTTATTGACTGTACAAGATGTACTGTGGCCCTTCTCCATGCTTGCCCAACAATATGGAGTGAATCTAAACTTTGCTGGACAACTGCATGTCTGAGCTATGAGGATTCACTTGGATTCAAGTTGTACAGTTTTTTCTTTGAAGATGTTGGAGTGACATATGATTACAGTCATCTTGGGCAGCCTTTTTCAACCCTTATCATTTGTGTATCACACAAAGTCAAGAAAAAGACATGAGCACAATACACACAGGTGTTATACTTAAAAAGACCCCTTACTGTTAGTCTTAGGATACAATATATTTGCCTCTGTTCCTGATGCCTTCCTTAACTGCTCAGATTAATTTATTTATTCAACACAAGATGGTTGCAGGTACTATGATACCAGCAGCCATCTCGTGATGAATTTATAAACCCATTTGTTTCCTTGTTCTACAAGGATGTCAAATGTTGTTGACTGTCCCTTAGCTATTAACAGCCATCTATCAAACAGCATTAAAAAACCCTAACACAACATAAGATATAGTCATCAGATTTTTCTAGTCCTACCTTACTTTATTGGGTTTACATAGCAAGGCTTTGTTAGTGGGGGAGGCTGCAGGGGTGTCTTCTATGAGAAGATGTGAGGGGCTGCCCCCCATGTTGAACATAGCCTGTTCCAGCTGGCTCTAAAACTGACGTGGTGCTGGCCAAAGCTGAGCTAATCAATAATGCTGGTGCTGCCTCAGTAATAATGTATTTAAAATAGGGCAAAAAAAATGTGCAACAGCTGTGAGTGAGAGGACTGAGGAAGAAATATGAGAGAAAGAGCCCTCCAGACACTGGGGCTAGTGAAGAAGGAGAGGGAGGTGCTTCAGGCACCGGAGCAGAGATTCCCCTGCAGCCCATGGAGGAGACCATCGTGAAGAATGTTGCCCCCACACATCATGCGGAGGACCATGCCAGCAACCACATGGCAGCCCAGGGAGGGACCCACGCTGGAGCCCTTAACCACACAGCTGCCCATGAAGGACCCCACGTCAAACTGGATAATCCACATGGCAGCCCGTGGAGGGCCCCGTGGATGGATATGCCAGGAAGGAAGCTGCAACCTGTGGAGAGCCCATGCTGGAGCAGGCTCCTGGCAGGAGCTACAGCCTGTGGAGAAGTGCTCGGGCAGGAGCAGGTTTTCTGGCCTATGTGGGACCCATGCTGGAGCAGTTTTCCCCTGAGGAACTGTACCGTGTGGGAAAGGACCCATTCTGGAGCAGTTCTTGAAGGACTGTATCCCATGGGAGAGCCCCACCCTGGAGCAGGAGAAAAGTGTGAGGAGGAAAGAGTGGCAGAGATGAAGTGTTATGAACTGACCAGAACCCTAATTTTCCATCCCTATACCCTGCTTGGGGCAGGAGGAGGAGATAGAAGAGTCAGGAGTGAAGTTGAACTGGGAAAGAAGAAGGGGGTGGAGGGAAGGTGCTTTACTTTTGGTTTTGTTTCTTTTGCTATCCTCTTTTATTTTTAATTAGCAAGAAATTAAATTAGTATTCCCCAAGTTGAGTCTGTTTTGCTGGTGATGGTAACTGGTGAATGACCTCCCTATCCTTATCTCAACCCATGAGCTTTTTCACCTTCTTATCTTCTCTGTCTTGCTGAGAAGGGTGAATGAGAGACTGGTTTCCTGGACACCTAGTGACAACCAGCCAAGGTTAACCCGCCATACTTATTTATATAAAGGGCTTTAAAATTTACTGTGTAGTTCCTGAGAAAGAAAGACACCATGAAAACATTTGAAAATAATGTATTGTGTTGTCAGATGAGAAGGCAGATTTCTTCATTTGTGTAATACTGTACCTGGTAGCCAAGAATTGGAGATAGGTCTGCACAGGTTCCTAGATAATAAACTATGGGTGAAATTGGCATGTGTATGTATTAAAAATATCATATAGTGAGCATTAATCATTTGGGCAGGAGAATGGAATGAAAGCAAGCCAAATGTAGGTTAAAGAATATTTCATGGGGGATTTGGACAATTAGACCAGAGAAAATAGAAGTGGGTTTGTTGATAGAGAATGGGCATATCAAAAAAGTACCAAATTCCCTTTCAGTCCCCTTTCCCACACCTCTAGGATGGATTAATCCACAGTGGAATTGGTTCTGCCAAACAATCGCCTCGTCTGTCTTTCAAAATCTCAATTGACAGTGAGTGATTCCACAATCCCTCTTGGCAATGGGCATTAATGTTTAAGTTTCCTTAATGTTAGGTAAAATTTCATAATGCCTGACCTCATTCTTCCTTATTGCAGTTTAATCTGATTTCTTTCTTCTTGCTTTAAATATGAGAAAGTTGTTGTTACATTTCCTCTCAAAATAGATCTAATTCTTTAAAAAATACTAGATCACACTTTTTAGACTACTGATTAAGTTATTTGCTGTCTTCTGTGTTCTTGAATGTTGATCCACATGTTGTTCTGAATTAAATCTGTTACTTTCTCTTGGATACAGCTGGAGTCCTTCTGGTGGAAGTTCAAGATGTGACTGATGGCTAATTGACTCTACTTATTTCTGTCATTGCTACTTCTTTCTAATTTTACTTGTTTGGTTCTTCAGGAGCCCATCTATAATGGGGATTCTTGCTGCAGATAGGAAATTTCTGGGTGAGATTGGTGTACTAGACAGTGGAATGAACATATATGGAGGAGAAAATGTGGAACTTGGCCTGAGGGTAAGCTTATTTTTTAATATTTTTCTGAAAGACAGTGAAAATCAGCATGCAATTTTTTTTGAAAGCACTCAGACTGCTGACTATAGTCCAATGCATAATATGGGTTAATATTTCAGAGCAATTATTTTTTATTTTGGGTACCAAAGGGAAGTAATAGATTTCCAAAAGTGTTTAAGACTCATCAGCAGGCTTTTGTTGATACTTCTTAAGGATTTTGCCTATTGACACAAAGAACCTAGTTCACTGAGGAAATACCGAGATACCGAGTCTTGTAAGATGTTCTATGCAGAGCAGGAGAGCAAGATAAGATCAAGTTAAATGAAGTTATCTATTAGGAAAAACAAAACAAAAAACAAATCAAAACCAGAAAGAGGTCTGTCTGCCCTAGAAGGTAATGTGTTCTCCAACTTTGTCTTCAATCAAGAATGGAGGAGTTTTAGGTTTTTGTTTTGTTTTTTCCTTTTTCCTTTTTTTTTTTTTTTTTTTTTTTTTGTTCTCCTCCAGAACAGTTTTATCTGGAGTGTCTAATTAATAGGGAACATGTTAGAGCACTTAAAATTCTATTGATGAGTCTTTTTCAAAAGTAGTCATGGTTGGAGATATTCTAGAAGACCTGAGAAGAAAAAAAAAATGAATATAGCACTTATCTCTATAAAGAAGAAAAAGGATGGTAGGATGTGAGAATTATAAACCTGCTAGCAAGACTTAAACATCTAGGAAAAAAGAGTTTCATTATTCTCTTTCTCTGTAAACATGAAAACTAGGGGGATTTGAAAAAAGTCAGTAACCAGTTTCAAAACAAACATGAGGAAGAGGTATTTCATTCTTCCAGTAGTAGACCAGACTAACAGATTAGAAGCAGAACTCCTTGCAAATGGTATTATGGGTCTTAAAATCTTGCAGACGTTTGTGGGGAAGCTGAACAGTCATGGAAGAAAAATCTACTCAGAGTTAGTAAACAGAAGTAAATCACAGGAATATGCAGAAAGTTCCCTGACCTTAAAATAACTGAGAGCTGTGAGAGGTAACACATGTACTTGTCTTGTTCTTAACCTTCCCCAGGAATAAGCTTGAAATTACTTTGGGATGCAGAATGCTAGGCTAGATGGACCATTGGTCTGGTAGGGGCATTTCCTCATGGTCTTACAGCTTTTTCTTCTTTGTTCTGGTATCTATTAGTAAACACATAAAAGATAATACAGACAACATATATTTGTCCGAACAAATCATGTCAAACAAATCTAGGCTTTTTTTTTTTTTTTTTTTTTTTTTTTTCTTTCCCTGTAACAGGGTAGCATATTTTATGCAAAGAAGACAAACATCAGCATTTAGGAGAAACATGAGGAATAAACAGCTGCAGAGGTGTAGGCTGGGGAACATCCAGCTAGAAAAGAGCTGTGAGTAACAGACTTTGTATGAGTCAACGTGGCTCTGCAGCTGGATGGGAAATGATGGCATTGATGATCTTTCTTTTCTACTGCTAAGTTCTCTTTTGGAGTTGTGTTTTGAGTTCTGGGACCATACATCAGTAAATATGTGGAACAATTAAATAATCTGAAGGAAAGGAAAGAGGACAAATAGAGTTCCTCCAATATATGACATTATAGCAGAAATAGGCCTAAATGAGGTTTTCTGATTTTATAGAATGGTTTGGGTTGGAAAGGATCTTAAAGATTATCTAGATCCAACACCCCTGCCATGGGGGGCTGGAACTAGACCAGGCTGTTCAAATAATCCCCGTCCAACCTGGCCTTGAACACTTCCAGGGAGGAAGCATCCACAACTTCTGTGCAACCTGTTCCAGTGTCTCATCACCTCATAGTGAAGAATTTCTTCTTTATATCTAACCTAAATCTACCCTCTTTCAGTTTAAAACTTAGCCCCTCATCCTATCCCTATACTCCCTGATAAAGAGCCCTTCCTCATCTTTCCTTTAGGGTCCCTTTAAGTACTGGAAGGCTGTTATAAGGTCTCCCTGGAGCCTTCTCTTTTCCAGGCTGAAGAGTCCCAGTTCTCTTGGCCTGTCCTCATAGGGGTATAGTCATCTGATCATCTTTGTGGCCTCCTCTGGATTTGTAGAAGAGAAGATCAAGAGGAAACGTAGCAACCATCATCCAAACGTGCTGAATGCTGTGTTAAACAAAACCCCTGTGTGTAAGGCATCACACTGAGTTATGTCGATGTACTAACTTGGGTTGATACAATATTGAAGGTGTTGACAGATTTCTCCATTACTCGTGGTAGACATGGCCAAAGACACCATGCTTCAGATTCTGTGAGACTGAAATGTCACGTCATACACCTCATGTCTTGTGAATCAGACTGTGAATTAATATTTCAGTTCTGTTGCATGAACAAACATTTACACTTTAATATTTATTACCCTGCACCGTTCTCAGTGGTGGCAATGTGTGTCTACTCTGTAGTCATTTACGAAAATGCTGGAGGTGAAAATAATGGAGAATCAGTTCAGTTAAAACACAAAGATTGGGTGTGTTTGTTCTGGACCTTCTGTGCTTTTGAAGCATTAATTGTGGCCTGCTTAGGTATCTGCTTGAATTTCATGTAGGTATTTTCCAGGAATTCACTGATTTTTTTTAATTTCTCTTCATTTCTCCCTGGTGTATAAGATTTTGCAGGGCCAGTTTTGCTTTTGATATGTCCTGGGCAATGTTACTGCTTTTGAAGGATTCAGGCCCATAGCCACCATGGTATTTAGCAGTCTAGCTCCTAGTGAGATCAGCTGTAGGTACGTGCCAGTTTGCCTTTGTGTATCTACGTCAACTGACCCAAGTGCTTTGCCACAGGCAACTGGTGAGTAGTTTTGTTAATACTGATGGCAAAGAAAAAGAAGGAAGAATATGCCTTTACTTTCCTGGACCTGCGATAGGACTATACACAGTAGAAATGAAAGGCATTGAAAAATTCTTTTCATTCCCCCAAGCCAGGACATAGAGCTTTGAATGCTGAGGGCATGCCAGTTTATCTGGTGGGGGGAGCAGAGATGGGAGCTCTTCAAGAAAAAATGCAAAGAGTTTGAATAAATAGGTAACTTTGCCTCAAATTCTCTCTTCTTGACCTAGGCCTGGCAGTGTGGAGGTAAAGTAGAAGTGCTGCCCTGTTCAAGAATCGCTCATTTAGAAAGAGCTCACAAGCCTTACTTGCCAGACTTGAGCATCGCAGTGAAACGCAACGCCTTGCGGGTGGCTGAAGTATGGATGGATGACTACAAGTACATGGTTTACTTTGCATGGAATCTTCCAATTGAGGTGGCAGTGTTTCTCTGTGTTTCAAATTGGAATCCAGAGTCCAACAGTGGTCAAATTAGGAGCACATGGTCACAGAAAAAGAGGCGTAGTGTGGTTATAGGAGTCATTGCAGGAAAAAAAAATATATATATTAATATTGATATGTTAATAATTATTGATATGGTGAAAGGGGAAAATCTTCTAGCAACCTTGGAAGGTTGAAAAAATGGTAATACCAGGAAATGAAGAACTTTTCTTTAATAATAATAGTCTAAATCCTTTAAATTACAGTTGTTTTTTTTTTTTTTTCTCGTTTCGATTAACTTCAGTACTTCTGAATATGGTTATAACTTTTCTCCTGTACAAACTGTTGAAGATACTGGAAGTGTCAAGACCAGGTCATCTGAATATTGATCATTTCAGTTAATAAAAGAAAACTATGAATTTTCCTAGCCTGCATTTCAGTGGATTTATGAATCTAATGAAGATTAGCCTCCTACTTCTTTGTGTTTTCTTGAATAGATACTAAAGAAACAAATCAAAATATGTAGTGATATTGCATAAGTTAAAACTTCAAAACAATAAACTTCCCCATTAATTCACTTTTACTGTAAATATTTGGAATTTTTCATGTGAAAATGACAGTCATCAAAGACTGTTCAAGTCTATTTGAAATTCCTAACCTAATTTATTCAGGCCACAGACTGTATTTTTATAGAACTGCTTAAAGACAGGGTATAAACTCCTGTTGGACTGATCTCTAACAAACTTTCCTGCTGGAGCTGTTTCACTTTGTATAAGAAGTTACATAGTCTTGGAAACAACCATTTGAATCTCGATTGCTCCCGCATGAGATGAGCATCACAGTCAACAGACCACTGATCAAACTAAGGTTGTTAACAAGCTCTGCCTTGTTTATCACTTTGAGATAAATGATTTTTTTATCAGTATGAAATAGGGAAACTACTTCCTAACCATATGCAACTTGGATATTCTTTATATTTATGAAGTCATAGCATGTTTGTTTTTCAGTAATTTATTGGCGCCTTTAGACAAAATATGTTCTGAAATTCTGAAGTTTAAGAAAATGTACTTTTTTAAAAATTCACTTTTAAATATATCCTTTATGTTACAAATAGACGATATGGAGAAATAAGTCTGTATTTTCCCGAATTCCTCAGGCCACCTTAATGTTCTGAAATTAAATATGGTGTTCTTACAGAATCCTGGAATAGACTTTGGAGATGTTTCTTCCAGAAAAGAGCTAAGGAAAAAACTGAACTGTAAAGGCTTTGACTGGTACATAAAAAACATTTACCCTAATTTAATATTTCTTCCCAACATTGTTGGCTATGGAACAGTAAGTATTGAGTCTATTTATTTGAAATATGGAACAACTCATTAGCTCTATTTTTATGAAGAATTGTGAACACTGTTTTGCTGATTACGATATATTTTCCCACAAACTTTAAAAAGACTTTTACATGTCTTTCTAGACACTAAATTTTTCTAAAGTCTTTTTCATATTAATTATCAGTCTAGGATTTCTAAATTGTGTTTATTGTGTATGTACTGATGGGAGTACAACAGTAGTTTGGGAAAGTGCTTAACATGCATGTATGTGTTACTGCATTTAAAACTCATCTATTGACCAACAAGAATGGATCAATATCTTCTTGTAAGGGCCTGAATTTTTCAATGGAATAGTATGGATTTTCTTCTGTAGTGGTTAGCAGGATAATGTGGAAAACAGGTAGACACGAATCAAGATTGCATGCAATACATTGGAAGTCAGGCCACTATTTTCAAAAGAGAGAACTAATCATCCAGGCTGCAGTGGCTTCTTAATATAGGTAGGCATTTTCTAGACCCAAGCTTATATACCTTGATGGAGCTGGGCAGTTGGTACTCACCCGTTTGGAGCTGCCTGGTGACCTCTGAAATGGTGCTACATAGCACAATGTCAATGGGTCTTTGAACCTTAGATTCGCTTTTGATTTTTGCCGTGATTAATCATTTCTACAAAGGTGATATTAGATTTATTTTCTAAACCCATATTTTATCTTCTACTTCAGGATTCGATGCAGAGCTCTGAACAAAGTAACCTTGCTCTCAGGACAGTTTCTAAAATTAGTGGTGAGGAATTGAAAGCAGGATCGCTGATCCTCACGGTAAATTTCCTGGTTTATTCTGCAGATGAAAAACACGTTGAAAGAAGACATCTGTATTGATCAAGGGCCTGTCCCTGGAAACACACCAATTATGTATCCCTGTCATGCATACTCACCACAGGTAATGCAAGCAATTGATCAGATTTTTGCATATGAGCTGTTGCTAACTGTTCCTTTCAGTCCTCCACAGGTCCATGAAATAGGCACTTCAAACCTATTATCTATGGAATATTAACCTTTACTTTATTAAATTCTGTTCCTTAGTGCAACTGGCAGCAGAGCAGATTCCTGTGGAGATGTAAGTGCATTAAACTAAGGCTTTTGGCTTAACCTTGTCAAAAAATTGTGAGACTTCATGTTGATGCCGATTGATCTGGTTGATTAACAGATCAGTGGGATGAATGGGAGAGAGGTGGAGCTCTTCCTCACACCTCACTGCCTGTCCTCTCAGTAGGAGGGAAGCTAAAGATTACCATTCCATTGCAAGCATCTTGCTTTATTTCATTGGAAAGCAGAAAGATGTATAGGGCCAAATTCATCCTAGTTTAATTAATGAGAGATCAGTGAATGGTGGTGCTGCACAGCTGGTACCTCTCAATATCAGTTTTTGAACTGTCTGCTATCATCTGTTGTTGAGATTTCCTTGGTATCTTAATTCACTGACAGTAGTGTCACCTTCCCTTTCAGCACATCTTTTATCACAGCACTGGAGAAATGTATGTAGGAGGTTTACGGGCCCGGCAGAATACAGTTGATAGATGCCTAACAGACCCTGGGAATGGGGACCTACCAGTTTTAGAGCAATGTGATACAGCTGTGAATAAAGGCCTGAATTTGCACTGGGATTTTAAGCAGGTAGGTGGCTTCCTATATCCTCACATTTCAATAGGCTTTCCCTTTATAATGAATCCTTAGACACTTGGCTTGCAAAGATATTTGCTTCTGAGTAATGTTGCCTCAATTTCAAGACTTGCAGGTGCCACTGCAAGAGTTACAGTGAAGGGTATTGATTCTTTAGGGATGTGTGATGTTAAAAAAGGGGGGATGGTTACACAACCGAAGCTGAGTTAACAGAATTTAAGCAGTTTTCACTTGTTATCTGAACCATAGCCACTTATTTGTCTAACTGTATGTCTGTCTTGATAGAATCAGCTGGTTTGAGCCTTTACTTAAAGGTTTAAGTCTTAATTTTTATCTGGGCTGGCTAAAAACATTCACTTGCTCAGTTATCACAGGTCAGCTAATGGGCAGGAAATGTGCAAGCCCAGGTGCCTCGGTAGCTTTTGATGGTATGACTATACATTGTGAACTCTCTCCGCTGCCTGTCTTCCAGCCTTCTCATGGGACCTGCTGGTCTTAGGGGAAAAAGTGAGCTGATGCCTCATCCTGCTCACTCCCTGGTACCATCTTCTGTACCAGTGTCTGAGCATGAAAATAACTGTTGAAGGTCAGGCCAGGTTCATATTTTCAGGGCTCAGGTTACAGTTGGTGATTAGAGCCATCGCACCGTGTTCACTTGTCTCCATGCTGATATGCTTAGGATTCCAAGTGATGCTTTCACGTTCTGTATTCTGTGCTGCTGAATTCAGAATATGATAATGCTAGCTTAGTCAGCTAGTCTGAGAGAGATACTGCCATGCTGCTGGGGCAGGATGAACGGGCAGCAGTAATAATGGTGGAGGGAGAGATGGGAAAGGAAGCCATGCAGCTTCTCCCTTCTCAGGCAGTTCAAACTTTATTAGCTTTCTGTAATTAATAATTACTTAATTTTACATGTAATGTATGGGCCTCTTTACTGTATCCCCCCTCTCAGTAAAAAACGAAGCAGGAGACAAATCTTGTGAGAGAGTGGTAGAGAGTAGAGGAGTTGAATTGGTGAAAGACAAAGGTTTCAGTGATGTGCACCAAATAATATAGACCTACGCAGTCTCTAAAAATTCCACTAACATGGGCTTTCCTTTGTCTGGTCTGTAACAACAAAATTTAGAAAAAAGTGCAGATATGTTTCTGGAGGATCTAGACTCACCTTAAAAGTAAACCTTCAGTTCCTTGTGTGCATCAAGCATTATCATAGTGAAACAACTGGCTGCCTGAGGGAGCCGGGTGAGATCCTGTTTGCTGTGGTGGCCAACCCCTTGGGAAAAGCCTAATTTCCGGCATGATGAGTTGACTTAATCACACCCCAGCCCATTCACAATAGTCCTGAAATATTGACTTAGAGATAAGAGATTAATATTCTTACCTGTTATTAGCTCTCTTCTTTCAAAACAGGATACAGTACAGATACAAAATAAACCTCTAAATATATTTTAATATGACTTGGAGTTTCATAAGCATCATTAGCCTGAGGAAAACACAGCATCTTCCTTTCAGGTCTATGACCTACTAGTGTTTCTCAGACACATTTGTAGAGGCCAAGAGACTTGCTTCCTGACTGAACACTAAATTTATAAGCCTTCAGGTTCTCTCATATTTCCCTTCCTTTTGCAGGGATCAGCCGTAATCAACAGGAGCACTACAAGATGCCTTGAAATCACAGCAAACGATCTGGTTTCTTACAGACTCGTAATGCGGGCCTGCACAGGACAAAGGTGGAATATCCAACACACAGTCAAGGACTGGGGAAAGACAAAAGACCTGGAACAGAAGAGAGAGCACTCAAAGCATTGACTAGGGGACATTTTTCCTTGAAAATTTCTACATTCATAATGCAGCACTGAAAGCTGCATCACTAGAGAGAAACGGCTATGTCTAAGAGTGCTTCAACCCACCTGAGATCCTTACGTTGTCCTTTGGAAGTGCCTGTCTCTGCTCATTAATGGAAGACCAGTGTAAGGTCTTTAACTTTCTAACTTTGCCATTTCAGTTAGATATGAAAATTCAGAAGAAATTAAAGCAGGTCTGACTTCCTCTCGTACACAGAGTTTATCTCAGGCTGGATTGGACCATTTCTCTTGTCCTGTGTCATATAGATAATGCAAAACTTCTTGTCAAGTTGTGCTCATGCTAGTATGTGAAATGAAATACATCCCTGTTCTGTCCCTATAATTTGCCTGAACATAATTCAGTTTCTCGGTAAAGTTTATTAGATTCATCAGTGTGCCACACTAAGGCTGTTTTATATTTACCTGTGTGAAGCTGGTTTGTGCCAGCCAGGTGGAAGCATGCATAAAATCCAGTCACACCCTTGGAAACAAGAGGATTCGACTCCATAGTTTCCAAAAACCAATACGAGGACAATGCAGTAGAGTTTATGTCTGTCAACGAAACTAAATAAAATACAGTATGAGTTGCTAATGAGATGCAACTTCCAGGTAGACACGATGTGAGTCCTCATAGAAATAGGGTTAGGTGGAACTGGCTGTCCTAATTATTAGAGTAACCACTCCCAGGACCTGTGCTTATTTGTTAAAGGGAACTCCTGTAAAATAAACTCATTGAAACTATATAGAGTTTCAGCCTGAAGTAATTTTATTTATTAAAAGGGTGCCAAGCATTTTATTGGAATAGAAAGTATATTCAGGTTTTGTTTAGATATAATCCAATGTAATTTGTTTTTTCCTTTCTAATTTCTCTGTAAACTTGATGCAAACAATCTGCCCCTGATATTCAGAACTAGAATTGGACAAGCTCTTAAAGGATAGGGTTAGGTCCTTTTGGTCTGTATTTTTCTGTTCTGGAAACTGATTGTTAAAAGGGTCACATTTTAACCAGGTTGGATTTAAATTTCTGAAATCAACTTTTATTCCCACGTCCTGAGTCAAAGCCAAAGACACTGAAGAGAGAGGAATGGTTGTTTTCTGCGTTTTCAACGATGTGTCTTACCAAAGTCAAAGGACTAGTAATTGGCAAGCACAATGAAGACAGTTGGAATTTTGCTAGTAAAACTGAAATGATAATCTGGCCTATTGGTGATGATGAATAAAAAGTGTTTATGTAATCATTTTTGATCTTAATATGCCACTTCAATACAATGTAATGGACATTTGAAGAATTTTGTTTTGAACTTAGAATTTAGAAAACACCAAAATGTTGCAGGATGTCTAGATTTTCTGGTTCTTAATGTACGGCCTCTAATTATACAGAGGGGCCAACACCGAAGCAAAATACTTCAAATATTTTGATTTATCTCAAGTATGAGTTATTTCAGTTTCTTGAATATCCTCTGCAAATGTGACATTTTGGCTAATTTTGTAATGGGGAAGATAGTAGCCATAAGAGAACTCAATTTTCAGACTAGTACTTTCTGGTGGTGCTTGGTGAGACAAATAGCAATTCAATGTTTTCAGCACTACAGTAGTAATACATGGCTCTCACTGGTAATACTTATGAACTTGTAAATTCACTGCATGCTGAAGCAACTGGTGCGCGATTCCTCAGCAAGTCGGCAGTAGAGGTGGGACTCCACTGCCATGTTGTGTCACAAGAAGGCAGCTACGACTGCAGCACAGAATAGAGCGGGATCCCTTCTTGACCTGAAAACCAGTCACTAGCCGAACTTTCAGGAATGCAGAAAATCACCTCAGCTCCTGCAAAATGAGACCAGAGTACTGCAGCACTGCTGAAGACAGGTACTAAATAATAACATAATAGGCAGGAGTTTTAATGGGTGTGTAGCTGCAAAGGAATGGGACAGTTTAATTCAGAGCAAATATATAAAAATAAAAAAGGACCAATGTACATACTACTGGGCAGATAGGCCCTAATGGCCTCTGCAGAATAGTAAAGCTTTTCTGCTTGGTTTTGTGCTCAAGCAAACTTGGCTTTACTACATACGCAACAGAAATCCACCTTGGGAGAAAGACTTAGAAGAGGAAAAAAGTTTTGTTTTTTTTTTTTTTTCTTTAGTGTCTGGTGGAATGGGGACAAGAGCTAGTCTGGAGACAGGAATATTTAAGAGGCTATTAACTGTCAATCTCTTTAAGAGGAAACAATCAGAGAACAGACAGAATCATTTAATCTGTCACCAGGGGATTTGTTTAGTTCTGACCAAACGATAGGTGGTGGAACTGTAATAATCAATAAGATAATTAGAAACCCCACTGCTTTCATTCACTTTTTTTTTTCCTGACTTTAGAAAAGTCATGAGGCAAATAGGTTTGCCTCCTCATTTTCCTCCCTTTCTGTGAAACTAGCCCTTCTGAAACCCTAAGTGTGTGTGTTATCAGTGGGGTATAGCACTCTGCTTCCATTGAAGGTAATCCAGTCAAGATCAGTGGGCAACCTTTAAACAAATGATTATTTAAATTCTATGCCTTGTGTCAAGAGCAAGAGGATCTTATTGGGCACAGGAAAGTTTGGCAGAAAAATGATAATTTTCAGAAATCTAGATGGTTTACTACTTGTTTCACCTGTTTGCCACTATGCCTGTCCCTGTCACAGCCCATTTTTTCAATTCCCACAAAAGACACAAGTAGCTCACTTTGTTCTCTGGTTTGATTTGATACTCCTGGGCTTTGTTCACTCTATTTAAGCTGCTATATACCTGTTTTTCTGCACACATCTTCCAGCACAATGTGTTTTTCAGCTACATAACCTATGAATGCATGATTCTTGAGATTTTCAGCAGACTCGGAGCCTTTTTCTCTTCTGCTGAGAGATCCAGGTGAGGTGAGGACATCTGCCAGTTTGACAATTAATTGCCAGCACCAAGAGGACTGAAGGGTAGAAGGGCTGAGAGTCAGCCACCCAGAAACCCTCTGTAAACTGTGCAAGCCAGAAGACTGCCGAGGGGATAGTGGGTCCATCATTCATACCGGGTGGATCAGGGTTGTGTTCTGTCCCTCGTGCCTGGAAAGCTTGGCACTGGCGCTTTGTGTAAAGCTTTGTGCTTGAAACTGTGCCCTAACAGTGCTTCAATATTCACCTCAACTGCCTGTAAGCAAATGTGATTTCAGCAATTCTTTTGTACTTCCCCAACACTGGTAAATTCTGTCTACTCAGATATGGCAGTTATCAGTCATGTTTGTAATCTCAGATTAGATTTCAAGCTGGTTTTTTTCTGGGTTTTGGGAGACTTGCTGTTACTTCAGAGCATGTTTTTCCATCTGTTCGCTGTGAATTTACTTTCAGCCCCTAGTCCTCCCAAACTCTCTGCCCAGACAAGACAAAATGGTACCTTACAGCCCGTGTGTTTGCCTGCAGAATTTCCTAGAAATGTACCATCTGTTCCTAAGTGCCCAAAGCAACAATGATAATTGTAGAACCTTTGAAGGAAAATCATGCTTACTTGAGCCCTACTGTGGTGAACACATAGAGCTCTGAGTTCTGTATCGTGATAGCTGTTTGCTTTTAATGACTTGTATTTGTTACAGTGGTTCAAAGCAGACTTGCAAATGTAGGTCAGTTTTGTATGCATTATTTAAAAGAAAATCTCACTGTAAATGTTATTTATGCAAGTGTCACTATTCAAATCTATGAACTGCATGGTGTAATGGCACACATCCTGAAACTACAGCTTTTTTGAGGAGTTTAATAAAGGGGAAATACTTGTCTTACACAAACTTCTTTGAAAAGGTATTGTCAATTCACCATATTTTAAGGAAAACAGATACAGCGTTAGAGCTCTACACTGACAACCACATCCCAAAAAGACTGAGACAAGCATGTACAAACCTATGATGCAAGGACACTCTGCATGATACCTGATCCACCACAGGGCTGCCCAGGTTTGCTTCTGCATCTCTTGTAGACTTTGAATTTCTGTGTGTCTGTCTTCTTTGTTGGATGTGTGCAGGTGCCATTAGCCTGGATGACCTGAGCCTGTCTCATTCCTCACTCCGACTGGAAATGATCCCTGATGTGCGCAGCTCGGTCAGCGTCGAGTGCCATGTTTCTGGGACTGCCACGCTTCTGGCGTGCAAGTCAGTTGATTTAAGTAATAGCACACTGTGCTGCAATCTGCTGTATAATTGCACACTGAATTAGATTCACAGTTTGTTACCTACGTCACACTGTGACAGGGCTTGTTGCTCTTCAGGAGGGAAAAAAAATTCTTCTGGCTATAACTTAGAAAAGCATCATGAGGAATGATTTTCTCCCTGAGGCTGTGAGTTCCTTTTAGAAGAACCTGAAGAACAGATTAAAACTCGGGTAATCCCTGTTTATTAAATGTATGTGGTTAATGCCCCCAGTTAAAAGCATGCCTTTGGGCTTGCAAGGAAAAAAACCCTGAGAACAAGATGATGATGGGACGCACATTTACTGCTGTGGGATAAGCAAAGAGGAAATGTCAGTGTGTGAGTTCTAGGATAGCTGCCTGGTTGTGAGATCTTGCACTACACTGTGAGATAGCTTATATTGCGAGGGCTGAATTGCCTCCTACTTCACGGAGGGAAAACATGCTATTACTTGCTATTCTACAGTATACCTCCCTTTGGAGTATCTTTCTTATGTACCTTAAATCTGCCTTAAAACTAAATGTGCAATGGGTACTGCTCCCGTGTGTAAGGGAGCATGTAATAACATGTTTAACATTTTTCTTCTAAAACAATAGCGTGTTTTGGAATGGACATATTTATTCCTGAAACTTTAGAATTATTTTCACTGGTGTTTGTTGGATGTCTTTAAAGCCTATGAAAGGACTGCAGGGTTCCCTAGAACAAGGAAACAAGATTTCATAGAATCATAGAGTGGTTTATGTTGGAAGGGACCTTAAAAATCACCTAGATCCAAGCCCCCTGCCATGGGCTGGGGCACCTTCAAAGCCCCGTCCAACCTGGCCTCGAACATTTCCAGGGAGGAGGCATCCACAGCTTCTCTGGATGACCTGTTCCAGTGTCTCACCACCCTCACAGTAAAAAATTTCTTTTTTAAATCTAATCTAAATCTACCCTCCTTCAGTTTAAAACTGTTATCCCTAGTCCTATGTCCTGGGTTGAGTGAGTGGTGGGGTTTTTTGGTGGCAGGGGAGGGGGCAATAGGGGTGCCCCCCCTGTGAGAAGCTTCTCGAAGCTCCCCCAGCTCCAAGTCAGCTCTACCTCTGCACCAAAACTGAGTCCATCAGCTGCACCTCTGTGATAACGTATTTAAGAAGGGACGTGGTGAGGAGCAGTGGGACTGGTGAGGAGGAGTTGGGGCAGCTGCGTGAACACCAAGGTCAGTGGAGGAACGGAGGAAGAAAGGAGGGGGGAGGTGTGCCAGAGCAGAGACCCCCCTGTATCCTGTGGGGAGACGGCAGGGTGGCCCCCCCTGCCACCCATGGAGATCTACGGTGGAGCAGACACTGATTTATGGCCTGTGTTTCATTTCACCTGGATGATCAAGGTGCTGTGCCTGAAGAAGGCCAGGGTCTTGTGGGAGAGGGTAGCCCCGCTGTTGTAGTTCAGTGCTGGGAGGATTGCAGCATGCGGGGGAGTCCCACGCCAGAGCAGCTCGGG